CCCTGCCAGGTACAGTTGCCCTCACTGTTCCTGCTGTCAACACAAGACTGGAGTCCCTGGCATCCTTGGAGCCTGTTGTCAGTCCACTTTTATCTGACATGTATACTTCACTGGGGTTGTCTTTGCGGAGCCTTCCTTATAGTTAGTCTAGGTGTAGAGTTGCTTGTAAAAGGAAAAGAACATTTATTAAAGATAGAATCTTCCTGTTCATTGTTGGAAATGAGAAAATAACCCATACAGCAAATTGTTTATCCATAAAATATCACTGTTTTTTATTTTGCTTTTTAAGTATTTATTGGAAGGATATAAGATAACTTATAGAAACTACAGGGAGGCTGGAGATGAGACTCAAAAAATAGACAAAAAAACCCATAATTATGTTAATATGCCAGTGGAAGAGGAAAAAATGAGTGTTTAGTACATATTTTGAGCTGGACTTTGAAAGCTTTTCTTTTTTATCAGTTGCCTAAAAGAATTTTAATGTGAACTGCTACCTTTTAAAATTTTTCTTAAAAAGTAACTCCTTTTACTTTTCACTATTTTTAAAACGGACTTCAGTGGATATTGTTTCAGAGGCCTATACCTTTGGGGCCCCTCAGGCCCACAGCCCCTCACTCTTCAAGAGGTCTAGGCTGCAATGCCCAGTCTGAAGGCCATAGTTCCATGTGACCACTAACCCTTAAGGTATGGCTGGGTTGAGCCAAGATGAGCTGTCAGTATAAATACTGACCAGAATGAAAAGGAGAATGTAGAGAAAAGGGAACACTTTTACACTGCTGGTGGGACTACGAACTAATATGGCCTCTTTGAAAAGAAGTATGGAGAATCCTCAAAGAGCTAAAAGTAGACCTTCCATTTGACTCTGCAATCCCATTACTAGGTGTCTACCCAAAGAAAAAAAAATCATTTTACCAGAAAGATATGTGCACTAGATTGTTTATCAGTTCAGTTCACAATTGCCAAGATATGGAATCAGCCCACGTGCCCATCAACCCATGAATGGATTAATAGACTGGTATGTGTATACCGTGGAATACTAATTGGCAATAAAGGAAGATGGAGACTTTCTATCTTTTGTATTTACCTGGATGGAGTTGGAGAATGTTCTCCTTGGTAAAGTATCACAAGAATGGGAAAGCAAGTATCCAGTGTACTCAGTACTAATATGGAACCAGTAGATGAACAGATACATAGCCACACGAAAGAAAGACACAAATCCACGTGGGGGAAGTGGGGCAAGAAGGAAAGAGGGGGCGGTATTGGTGTGCTCTCACTGAGGGGCACAGTGTCAGGGTACATGGCCTGCCTCCTGGGGGAGGGGTAGAACTGCCGCTTAGACTTTAACAAGTGTAACTTAATCATCTGTACCTTCATATTAATCTGAAATAGAAGGAAAATAATATTTTCCGATAATGTGTGGAAGTGATAATATTTTGGATACACTGATTAATTTTAACTGTTTTTTCTTATTGTGGCTACTAGAAAATTTTAAATTACATATGTAATTCACATGTGTGGCTTGCATTCTGTCGATTTTGGACA